CTCTCAGTGTTGGTGTGACAGGACTTACTCTCAGTGTTGGTGTGACAGGACTTACTCTCAGTGTTGGTGTGGGAGGACTTACTCTCAGTGTTGGTGTGACAGGACTTACTCTCAGTGTTGGTGTGGGAGGACTTACTCTCAGTGTTGGTGTGGGAGGACTTACTCTCAGTGTTGGTGTGGGAGTGAACGTGATGGTTGTTGACGGGCTGAGTGGGACTGTCCATCTCCAAAGATCCTGATGAAAACACAGAAGACATAAAGAAGTAAAGCAGCAGATCTGAGAGGGTCTGGCAGACTGGTGGACCCACGTCTCTCCAGGATCTCTGTGATGCCAGCGTTGTCAGCCTCCAGCTCCATCTTGAACTTAGCCAGCTCCTGGTCCAGTTTCCGCAGGTGACGGTCCACCTGAGGACAGAACAAAGCATCAGCCTCAGGACACGAGGAGCAGGTATCTGAACACCTGGTGGACCTGCAGAAGAAAACAGACACCTGTGCTGCTCAGGTGTGACAGGTGAGTCTGCTCTGCCTGAAGCACCATGCTGCCATCTAGTGGTGGTTCTACAAATCATTTACAGCTCGGTGATGCTCGTTCTGTTTCATTTTCTTACCCCTCCATATAACTGGTGTTAGAAGAACAACATACAGCAGTGTGGATAAACAAGTTCTCCTCACCAGATCATAGATCTGATTGGCCAGCTGGACCTTCTCGTCTGCATCTTCTAAAGCTTTGTAATAATCCTGAAACACAGAATCATGCTGAGTGATGCTCCGCCTCACAAACATCTGGAGTTCACCTCTGTCCTGCAGGACTTCAGACCTTTTTGATGATCTCCATCTGCTCCTCTCTCCACTCAGGCTTGTTCTTCTTTGCATTGATGAAAAACTCTGTGACCTTCTGCTCCAGCTGATCTGTGGCGTCTGACAGGAGAAAATACCACTCAGCTTCAGGGGATGAAGAAGGAAAACATGTCAAAATAAACTGTAAAAGAGCCTAAATGACCTGCTGCAGAAACTGTTCCTGCTCACAGCTTTGGACAGACYGTGTCTTTGTTTACCTCACAACAAGCTCTCATCACTAATCAGGTTTTGTTTTTTAATCTTGACTGATGGAGCTGACTCTGACCTGCTGAGGCCTGTAGTCTCTGAGCACTGCACAGTCTGACCTTCAGGGTGAAGATCGTCAGCTGTTTTAAGAGTTTGCACTTGATAAAATCTCTCTGGTGAACATGAACTGTAAAAGACCTTTGAGTCCTCTCAGGTTTATTTTAATGTTTTAGTTTGATGACTCAGTGAAATCTGTCGGGTGTTTTTGTCCATTTCAGGTTTAATTTGAATCATTCTGATGAGGTCCTGAGACCCTGGACCAGGAGGAGCTGGACTTTCTGGTTTTACTACGACTGGACGTTTAAACTCTCAGAACATCACAGGTCTGAACAAAATCTGTTTTAAAAATACTGAGCACAAAGTCCTGTTAGGAGGTTAAAAATAATTTTAGTTTGTTGAAATTAATTACATGTTCAAAAACAATCATTTAAATTATAAACAGGGCTGTCAAATTATTACTATTTTAATCTATTAATTCCAAGGAAACTGTGAATTAATCACGATTAATCTTAAACTTAATATAAAACTTTATTGCATATTGGTAAAATAAATTACCTGAGTTATTAATTAATGTTTTTATTTAGAAAACAAGACTGATGCTTAGATATGATTTTTTAAATATAAATCAGGACCTAAAAATGTCCCAAACATGTGTGAGTTACATTTAGTGCAGAATAATGAGGTTCAATCAAGAACTGAAGGATTTTCATTGTAAATGAGAACTACATGAGGAATTAAAGATACATACTGAGGTCACAGCTGTCAGCTAAACATAAATAAATAAAATAAAATAAGCCATAAGAAGACAAAAAGAAAAAAAACTGTACATGTGTTACACATGGAGTTTTATTTTAAATTTATTTATCAGGTAAACTGTTTGAGAACCACTTATTTACAAACATGACCTGACATGATGCTCTGTAAAACACAAACCTACAGGTTTTAATCCCAGTTTAAATGTTTAATCTGTGCCCAGGCAGCAGTAACATTTATCAGTTAACTCCATTAATTTCACAGCTCTAATTATAAAACATTATGTTTCTAATGTTTATGCATGTAAATGTTTAATTATTCCTGTTTGCATGAAAGTTTTAGTTTCTTCTCGTATTAAAAAGTTAAAAGCATGATTAAAATGTGAAGTTTTATAAATGAACTCCATGCTGTTTCTCTGCAGACTTTAACTTATAAACTCTGTCATTTCTCYGAGAAACGACACGTGTTCGTGTTTTCCTTCATCTCGGCCCGTTCAGCCGGTTCTGACCCGGAATGTGTCCCGGTCTGAGCAGAACCTACTCTGAACCTGCAGGTCCATCTCCCTCATTTCCGTGAACCTGTCGCGGAGATCCATGGGAAGCTGCTCGATCACTGCGGACACAAACAGCCGTTAGCCTGTTAGCACGGCCATGCTAACGGMCCACAAAACAACCCGCGTTCCGCGCACGAAACCCCGCTCCCGGTGCCGCGCCGGTCAGACCCGGTCCCGTACTCACTCTCCAGGTAGTCCTCCAGGTACAGCATCCTGCCGCTGGCTCCGTTTTCACCGATTAACGGAACACTTTCCTTCTTTCAATATGGCGCCGCCAGACGCTGCGTCGCTCCGAAAACAACACCGAGGAGGAAATAGAGGGCAGGGCGTGTGACGTCAACGGCTTCTYGTGCTCTGATTGGTTGGAACTCGAAAGGGCTTGAGTTCTCAGTGCATCATGGGAGATGTAGTTCATTTGAGTTTCCAGCGTAGAAATCTGCCAGAGGACAATGTTCAACCAGCTTTTCTGCACCAGGAAATATGATCTGAAACTCGGTGCAGCTCAGTGGACACAGTCACTTTGGATCCATATTTCTCCAATAAAATTTAATTGAATAAATATTTTCCTGCAAACTACAATGTGCAGACTGAGCTCTGAAAGACTTGGCTGAACATTTTAAAACTGAGCTGAAAGCTAAATGTAGCAAAACACTACTTAAACATGCTAAATGATAGCTAAAATTAGTAAAACCATGTTAACAAAACCTAAAAGTATTTAAATGTTGGGACTTTGATAAATGTGCTGCCTGATCCCGGCAGGTCAGGTTTTTCTGATTTTTTTCATGCTAACCCTCCGCTAAGCATTTCAAAATCTATCTTAAGGTTTTATCTCATTTGTTTTCTGCTTTGGTTTGAAAAATACTTATGAAACTGTGTACGGAGCTCCGCACTTTTTCTGTTATAATAAAGTCAATGGAGCACTTGCTTCTTAATGTTCAGCCTTTAAAGACCTCTAAACCCTTAATGGGTGGTCTTTTTTAAAAACTAAAGAGTTTTGGAATCTGTACATCCAGCCTTACAAGTACAAAAAGTAAAAACAGCTCTAAAGTAAGTTTGAAGGTTTTATCAAAGTCCCTACCAAATCAATCAATCAATCAATCACCTTTATTGAAGCAGATAGAGCCCATCGAGATGAAAATGTGTTTTCCAAGGGTGACCTGTGAGAGGTCAGCAGCACATCACAGGGTGGTTTACACTAAACTTACATTGTAGAAAAGATAAAAACATGCATCAATACAGCAGCTTTAAACAGATTTACACAGTGAGACGTATAAACAACACCGATGAGGCAGGTAGTAATCCAGGTGTTGACAGTTGTTTCTGAACTTAATGAAATGAAATGTTTACAAAGAGTTGTCYAAAACTAAATGCAGCAAAGACTAGCTCCGAGTAGGAAATTTAATCAAACAWTACAATTTAACTAAAATTAGCAGTAGCAGAAGTTTGTTTATGTAGATTTAAAAAAATTGTGAACAAAGTTTTTGAAGATTTTCAGGGATCTCATTGTTTTTATTTACTAGTGATTTTTGTAAACAAAGTTATAAAATGACTGGAAGTCAATGCAAAGTCCCCACGAGGATAGAAGAACAAACCTGTGTGTGTGTGTGTGTGTGTGTGTGTGTGTG